ATTAACCCGTAAAAACAAAGTTTTTCACTATAAATCCTTTATATGCGTGGCGGCTAGAGTCCTCTCGTCCTCTGGCTTGAGATGGCTGCCACCTATGGCTCAGATGGTTGCCTGCCACCATTAAGCAATTGGTAATTAAATACAATTTTTTTTTTCCTAAAAAGTGTAAAATTTTGGGAAAATTTTTTCACGAAAATAAATTGTCACGCACAACGAGTCTGTGTGCAAAATGTCAGCTCGATTGGATCACGGGAAGTCGGTTAAAAAACGACTGAAAGATTTGCACGGTCGTGAGCGCGCAAGCAAGCAAGCAAGTGAACTTAATATAAAGGATTTAAAAATAACCCCTGCCCCGATTAAACCCGGATATAGTTTGGCCCAGGCCAGAGTAGACCCGGGGGATAAAGTGTCCTAGGCTAAACTATACCCGGGGGTTTAAACTAGACTGGTCCAGACCATACCCCCCCTCCAGGGCAGAACATGCCCCATGTGAAAGTTCAAAGGCAATTATCCATACAGAGAACAGCCGACAACGGACTTCAATCGATATCTAAAAAGCGTATAAATGGAAGTAAGAATCTCAATTTGATCAATTGAAGCATTTTAGGGTTATTATCAGTTTTTCTGGTTGAAGTAATCAAAGTCTATGTGTTTACAGTTTTAAATAAAATGTTGGAAAAATTTAGTAATTCATGTGTATATCACAAATACCAGCTATTAAAGCAAATCCTGGAAGGAAAAATCGAAGGGAAAAAACGACCAGGACGGCCAAAAACGACATGGCTCAGTAACATCAAAACATGGCTACAATTAACAACAGCACAAACTCTACACGCCGTGCTAGACCGGGACCAATATCATCGTGAAGTCGCACACGCCGTTAGGCAGCACTAAACAAGAAGATATCGCTCAACACTATTACTATCATGGGGGTATGATTTGGCCTAGAGGGGTATAATTTGGCCTCGGCCATGATACACCCGGGTACAATGTAGCCTAGGCCGCTTGAACCCCGGGTAGACTACGGCCTGTTGCACCGGCACGGGCTGTGTGAGCTGGGCCGCCTTCACAACCAACGAGACGCCGCCGCTGCCAATTGGGACCAAGACGGCAGCGCTGCCTCCACCGGTCCGGTGAGGTCATTCTCAACAGGAGATTTTTGTTTTTCGATTTGAAGCTTTCGTGACTGCAGGGATTCATATTGTTGGTTCTTTCGGTAGAGTCACGTAGAAGGGAAGTAATAAAATAATAAAAATAAAAGATAATGAAACAAAATATAATAAAATATTTTATTATATTAAATTATTGTTTTATTTTTATTATTTTATTACTTGCTTTATAAGTGACTTATATAATAATATGTTATATTATTATATTATTTTATTATATCATATTATTTTATTATGTTTTATTCTTATTATTTTATTACTTCCCTTCTACGTGCCTTTACCGAAAGAACCAAGAAGAGATTTTTTTTTTCGATTGAAGATTTCGTGACTACAGGGATTCATATTCTTGGTTCTTTCGGTAAAGTCACGTAGAAGGAAAATAATAAAATGATAAAAATAAAACTATACAATTCTCACGACGTTTCGATTGCAACGCAAGCAATCATCATCAGGTGTGAAAACCACAGCAATATTGTTTTTGTTGTTGTGGGTTTTCATAAACTGATGATTGCTTGTGTTGCAATCGAAACGTCGTGTTAATTTGATTCTTACATTTTTATTATTTTATTATTTCCCTTCTACGTGACTTTACCAAAAGAACCAAGAATACAGTAGATTTTTATTAATCATTTTACTTTTCCAGGTAAGGCCCCCACTGAGCTGTGTAGTAGCGACCTGGCTATCACAAATGACAGCAGCGCACCGAAGTGGCTTATCACGTGACATTTACAGCAGCCAAATACTCTGAACACATGTGGAGATGTTAACTACCTCTCCTGGTATACAGGAGATCGTGTGTTTGATTCCGACCCTGACGCCTGCTGTATATTTTGAGTTTGCGCGTCTCTCTCTCTCTCTCCCCGTGGTCGTGTGGATTTTCTCCAGGTCCTCCGGTTTTCCCTCGACATTTAGAATCGAGATCACGCAATCAGAGTATTTGGCCGCTATAAATGTCCACACAATGATAAGCCACTTCGTTGAGCTTTCATTTGTGATGGCCAGGTGGTCGCGTCTGATAAAAGAGCTACTACGTATCCAGTTGGACCTTACTTGGTAGAATCCCAAGATAATGTTTGTTAGTTTAAGTATGTATATATATCATTTTAAACAGAATCACAAACTAACGCTCAACTTTCTTAAACGTGCAAGAGTCAACGCGCGCCACCACCGTGCGACATCACGCGAGCAACCAGGACGACGCAGAAAAATCTCTCAACCCTTTCCCGCGTCCGAGACGTCTGCAGAGTTGCAGGGTCGGTGGGTGTCACCGTTCACGGGGTGGGTATCACCGTTCACAGGGTGGGTGTCACAAGGGTGGCACAGTCGGGTTTTTTACAATCGGGTTTAATTGTCTTTTTATATTAAACCCGATCATCTAAGATTGAGAGAAATCCGGTTTCATTGGTTCTAATTGCAGAACCGCACTTCTCAACGATGGGCTTCATCCATTCCAAGCTAAGGAACTCACTGGCGCCCACGATTGTGGAGAAGCTCGTGTTCATTAAGACCAACCTGCCCGCCGCATTCTACGACTACCCCGTGCCCGACGGCCCCGAGTACCATAGCAGCACCGACGAGGAAGCAGCCTAAGCCTATCAGAGTTTCGTATTCATTAAACCAGGTTTTAATTCCCCGAAATCGGGTTTAATTGTGTTAAAGAAAAAACCCGATGCCTGCAGCTGGAAAAATCGGGTTTTTTCCACCCATGGGGTGTCACCGTTCACGGGGTGGGTGTCACCGTTCACGGGGTGGGTGTCACCGTTCACGGGGTGGGGGTCACAGGTCACGGGGTGGCTGTCACCGTTCACCGCAGCAGTGGCAGCAGCAGCAGCAGCACTGCTGTTGTTGTTATAAAGACGTCGTTGCTCACCGCAGAGAAGCGTAGCGACACGACCGCCGCCACTCTGCGCTAGCCGGCGCGAAAACTGTGCCACACTCCCTGCCCCGCGTGGCCCTGTGGGAGCCTCGGTACCGATAATGTTGCTTTAGTTTTACTGCGTTTTGTTATTCCGACGACGACGTTCACGCACGGCGCGCGGCGTCGTCGCGACGGCAAAGGGTTAAGTTCACGCTGGGAACATTTTCAACGGGGGAGGCAGCAACAACACGCAGGGTGATCCAAGTGCAGATGCCCCAATCATACCTACACCCCCCTCCCCCAACGCCCTCTCGGAATATTTTTTCAGACCGCAGGAATCCGATGAGCTATGAAGCTCTTCTTCGCAGATCTCCAGCCGTTCCACAGATGTCCTCTCCTAACACCCCCCCCCACCTCCTCCCCGTAGCTTTCCTCTCAGCGGCAAAGTGAATATCGCGCAAGCGATGGCTCAGGGCTACGGGACTGAGTGCACGGAGATTTGTGAGCGGATGCCACCTTCGTCATCGGCCGCGGTTCAGTCTACCGCTGGATGGGTACGTACTGTACGTACTGTACGTACGTCGCACGGGGCAGGGCTACGAGACGGCACGTGGTGCGCATGGAGACCGGCGGGAGACGTGCAGACTGGGGTATCTGTAGGTGGATCGCCCTGCGGTGTCCCCCTCTAGGGTAACAACAGTGCAGCTCTGCACGGGGGACTCTGCACACTCACACACACAGGGACCCCCAGGTGATGGGGGTGGGGGGGGACACGTGCAGTGGTTGGGACCTAGAACTCCGCACTTGCAATCGAGGGGTGGCCAGGTCGGTTTAATCTCCCACCCCCCACAGAGTGTGAGGCAGGTGTAGGAGGGTCCGTAGGTTTCCGTGTTCACATTCAAAATCAGTTTCAAGAGTGGCACAGCCTCGGCTAGTCACGTGGCCTGTTGTTTAAAACTAATTCACAGCTCGGCGCTGTGCGCGTTTTGCTCAGGATGGCTGACTTTTCTGTTTCCACGGGAATGAGAAAATGCATTCTGGCCGGTGTGTGTTCTCTGGTGCCGGCAAAGACTGGATGGGTCTGCAAACACCTTCTCACACACGGTGCACTTGAACGGCTTTTCTCCCGTGTGTGTTCTCTGGTGCCTGTGAAGATCTGATAGCTGTGCAAACGCCTTCTCACACACAGTGCACTTGAACGGCTTCTCTCCCGTGTGTGTTCTCTGGTGGCTATGAAGATGTTGTAAATGTGCAAATGCCTTCTCACACACGGTGCACTTGAACGGCTTCTCTCCCGTGTGTGTTCTCTGGTGGCTGTGAAGATGTTGTAAATGTGCAAATGCCTTCTCACACACGGTGCACTTGAACGGCTTCTCTCCCGTGTGTGTTCTCTGGTGGCTGTGAAGATGTGATAGCCGTGCAAACGCCTTCTCACACACGGTGCACTTGAACGGCTTCTCTCCCGTGTGTGTTCTCTGGTGCTTCTTCAAGGTACTCTTGTAGTCTGTGCTGTATGGACATTGGTCACACTGATGACTTTTGTTACTGGGCTTAGTGGGGTGTCTGCTCTGCACGTGATACTGTAGACTCGAGCGGCAGATGAACTGACGGTTGCAGGCAGGACACGGCAGCCTTGTGACCTCCACACCCACTCCACCTGCGTCATCCCAGAGGAACAAGACACACGCGCACACACCAACATCTAGACATGAACACTCTTGCACACGTGTGTGTATACACAAAGGTAAAGGTTTCCCACAGCCATATCAGACTGTTGGGCAAGTGCTGTTTGCGAGTACCTATGAAGGCCGGCATGGCACACGAGGGAGTAGGTGGCCAACACCAGGCCCGGCCGCCTTTGTCTCTCCAGTGGCGATGTTTCCACGTTTAAGCTAGGTACTCATTTGAGGCTGAGTCAGCCTAGGGGAGGACTAAATATTCACCACTGACGTTGGCCGTGAGTGGGAATCGAACTCAGGTGGCCGGGTTCGTAGTGCAGTGGGCTCCATTATATATACACACAAAGACAAAGAACCCCCATATAGCCTGTATATACTTTTGGGACAAGTGCTGTTATGGGCACCAATGAAAGCCAACACGGCACACGAGTGGGAGGGTGGCCAGCACCACACATAGCCGCCTTTGTCTCCCCAGTGGCGATGTTTACTACTACACACCACACCAGTTACTCACTTCCACCTTATCAGTGTGGCTGGTGCCTATCATCTCTGGTGAGTGGTGGCTGTCATCTCTGGTGAGTGGTGGCTACCAACTCTGGTGAGATGTGGCTATCATCTCTGGTGAGTGGTGGCTATCATCTCTAGTGAGTGGTGGCTATCATCTCTGGTGAGTGGTAGCTACATCCACATCTCTGGTGAGATGTCGCTATCATCTCTGGTGAATGGTAGCTATCATCTCTACTGAGTGGTGGCTATCGTCTCTGGTGAGTAGTGGCTATCGTCTCTCGTAAGTGGTGGCTGCCATCTCTGGTGAGTGGTGGCTATCATTTCTGGTGCGTGGTGGCTATCATCTCTGGTGAGTGGTGGCTATCATCTCTGGTGAGTGGTGGCTATCGTCTCTCGTGAGTGGTGGCTATCATCTCTGGTGAGTGGTGGCTATAGTCTGGTGAGCAGTGGTGAGTCTCTGGTGAGCAGTGCTCACGGTGTTCCTCGCTTGGTGGAGGCTGCACGGGCTGCAGGTCTCTGGCGGTGGCCCTAGGAGCCATCTCGCTGCTGCTGCTGCTGCGGCGTCGCGAGGGCCCGGCCTCGCAGGCGATGCCCAGCTCCTGGGCGAACTCCTCGCCGTACCAGACCAGCAGCTCAGAGCCGGGCCCCACGGCACGGAATGTGCGGTAGTAAATCTGCCCCCGGTGCTGGAAGGCCACCAGGTTCTGCTCCTGCTCATTCCTCGCGCAGTTGACGAACCTGCGCGGGCAGACGCGGGGGCGGGGTGGGCGCCGTTAGCGAGCGCCTATTAAGGGCCGGCACTGGGCGCTACGTGGGGGTGGTGTGGCTGGAACCACGCTCCGTACCGGGTGCTCATTTGATGCCGAGTCGACCAAGGGGAGGCCCAGGGTTGGTCTCTGTGTGTAGTGGGTCTGGTCTCTGTGTGTAGTGGTTCTTGTCTCTGTGTGTGGTGGTTCTGGTCTCTATGTGTAGTGGTTCTGGTCTCTGTGTGTGGTGGTTCTTGTCTCTGTGTGTGGTGGTTCTGGTTTCTGTGTGTGGTGGTTCTGGTCTCTGTGTGTGGTGGTTCTGGTCTCTGTGTGTAGTGGTTCTGGTCTCTGTGTGTGCTGGTTCTTGTCTCTGTGTGTAGTGGTTCTGGTCTCTGTGTGTGCTGGTTCTGGTCTCTGTGTGTAGTGGTTCTGGTCTCTGTGTGTGGTGTTTCTGGTCTCTGTGTGTAGTGGTTCTGGTCTGTGTGTGCTGGTTCTTGTCTCTGTGTGTGGTGGTTCTGGTCTCTGTGTGTAGTGGTTCTGGTTTCTGTGTGTAGTGGTTCTGGTCTCTGTGTGTAGTGGTTCTGGTCTCTGTGTGAAGTGGTTCTTGTCTCTGTGTGTAGTGGTTCTGGTCTCTGTGTGTAGTGGTTCTGGTCTCTGTGTGTAGTGGTTCTGGTCTCTGTGTGTAGTGGTTCTGGTCTCTGTGTGTGGTGGTTCTGGTCTCTGTGTGTGGTGGTTCTGGTCTCTGTGTGTAGTGGTTCTGGTCTCTGTGTAGTGGTCCTTCAGACAATAATCACCTCATCCAGTTTGATTTAGATTCATCCTGAGCATCAACATATTCACGATCCTTTTTGTTTTTGTAAATCTGAAACACACACGCACACGAGCGGATCCACGGATAATTAATGTCAGTTGGACTGTAAGTTGAACTTCTTTCGTACCGCACGTAGCCAACCATGCTGATCGGAGGTGCGGGGGAAGGACAACAAACTAAACACTAAAAGCAGTTCTAAAGAAATGCATTTTCAATCTACAAGATTTTAAAGTGCATAGCTCCCAGTGGCTTCCTAACATTGGAAGGAAGAACCTTCCAGACGGCCGCAGAAGTGCATCTGTAAGTGCCGCGCCATGCGGTGACCACCGTCTTTGCTGTGTGTTACAAGTTCAAATAATTACGTTAATTTTTGGGTCTCTCTGTGATTCTGGGGGTCTTTGGGTGAGTCTCTAGGTCTCTGTACGAGTCTCTGGGTCTCTGTGCGAGTCTCTAGGGTATCTGTGCGACTCTGGGTCTCTGTGTGAGACTGTGGGTCTCTGTGCGATTCTCTTGGTCTCTGTGCGAGTCTCTGGGTCTCTGTGTGAGACTGTGGATCTCTCTGTGCGATTCTCTGAGCATCTGTGTGAGTATCTGGGTCTCTCTGTGTGAGTCTCTGGGTCTCTGTGTGAGTCTGTGTGTCCCACTGTGAGTCTCTGGGTCTCTGTTCAAGTCTCTAGGTCTCTGTGCAAGTCTGTGGGTCTCTCTATGCGAGTCTCTGGGTCTCTGTGCAAAGTCTCTGGGTCTCTCTGTGCCAGTCTCTGGGTCTCTGTGTGAGTCTGTGGGTGACTGTGTGAGGCTATGGGTCTCTGTGCGAGTCTATGGGTCTCTGTGTGAATCTATGGGTCTCTGTGCGAGTCTATAGGTCTCTGTGCGAGTCTATGGGTCTCTGTGCGAGTCTATGGGTCTCTGTGTGAGTCTATGGGTTTCTGTGCGAGTCTATGGGTCTCTGTGTGAGTCTATGGGTCTCTGTGAGTCTCTGGGTCTCTCTGTGCCAGTCTCTAGATCTCTGTGTAAGTCTGTGGGTGACTGTGTGAGGCTATGGGTTTCTCTGCATCTCCTTCACGAGCCTCCTCTCCACACACACGATGATGATGTAGGAATAGGAGGAGGCTGCAGCAGTAGCAGCAGCAGCTCACCAGCCAGCAGTACTCGCTCACGGGGTTCTCCTCAGACACCTCTCCCTGGTAGGGCCCAAAAATCACCCCCTTGGGCAGCTTCTTCCTGTTGCTCCACACCCCGAGGCCGGCGCCGGCGATGGAGGAAGCGCTGACGGTGAGGCCCTGGGGCAGGCTGAGCCGGGCCCTGTTGGCCACTCCCGGGGCCACGGCCGCGTCTGCAATGAACTCTGGCGGGCCGTGCACGGAGCACTCCCCCAGGTAGAAATCCCTGCACAGCTCGCAGACTGAGAGCCACAGCAGCAGCAGCAGGAGGAGGGCGAACCGCAGTAGCAACAGCAGCAGCAGCAGTGGCACTGTGAGAGAGTGAGAGGGTGAGGAGCGCTCCAGACAGATGCCTCCTTTCCTCCCTCTCTGCATTGTGAACTTCTTTAGCTCGCCCATCGGAGATGTAAACCCTGTCACCCTCCCTGCTCCCTCCCTGCATCCCTGAGTGAGGGAGCAAAAGACAGGGAGGTAAGTGAGAGTGCGAGAAAGGGAGCGTGTGAGAGGGAGGGAAAGGGAGAGAGAGTGAGAGGGAGCAGGTGGAATATATCGAGTGAGAGCGCGGGAGCAATAGAGAGAGATAGGAGAGAGTGTGAGAAAGTTAGAGTAAGGGGCCGTCCATAAATGACTTCATGCACCTAGGGGGGTGGGGGGGTCAGACATTTGTGACGATGTGTGAGGAACCACAGACAACACGTTCTACTTAATTAAATACTTTTTAATAAATGTTTTCTCCTACAACATCAGACTGCAGTGCCACATTAAATATGCACTACAATGACAATAGTTTGAAGCGATTTTAAGCATATTAAATGAGCTTTGTGACGTCACATTTGAGGGGGGGGTCTGACTTTTTGTGATGTCGTGTGATGGGGGGGAGGGGGGTCCAAAATCGCGTGACGCCATTAATGGACGGCCCTAAGAGAGTGTGAGAAAGTGACAGTGTGAGAGAGAGTGTGAGAAAGTGACAGTGTGAGAGAGAGTGTGAGAAAGTGACAGTGTGAGAGAGAGTGTGAGAAAGTGACAGTGTGAGAGAGAGAGTGAGAAAGTGACAGTGTGAGAGAGAGAGTGAGAAAGTGACAGTGTGAGAGAGAGTGTGAGAAAGTGACAGTGTGAGAGAGAGTGTGAGAAGTGACAGTGAGAGAGAGAGAGTGAGAAAGTGACGGTGTGAGAGAGAGTGTGAGAAAGTGACAGTGAGAGAGAGAGTGTGAGAAAGTGACGGTGTGAGAGAGAGTGTGAGAAAGTGACAGTGAGAGAGAGAGTGTGAGAAAGTGACAGTGAGAGAGAGAGTGTGAGAAAGTGACAGTGTGAGAGAGAGAGTGAGAAAGTGAGAGAGAGAGTGAGAGGGAGCAGGGGGTCTCACAGAAGAAGTCGTCGTCCTGGGGCTCCTCCACCTCTGTGTAGACTTTCCTCTCGCGCGGGCGCAGGCCGTAGCGAGAGCGAGCGCTGCGCGACACCGCCACAGCCTGGGCGGAGGCCGGCGGCACGGAGGAGCCTGCAGGCAAACACGGCGAGATGTTGACTACCTCTCGTGGTATACGGGAGGTCGTGGGTTCCATCCCGACCCTGACGAAGCCTGCTGTATATTTGGAGTCTGCGTGTCTCTCTCTCCTCCGTGGCGAGATGTTAACTCCCTCGCATGGTCTACAGGAGGTCGTGGGTTCCATCCCGACTGTATAGTTTACAACATGTTACCCTATTTGTATTTTTGTATTTTTAGATTGTATATTATGGCTAGTTTACATTTTATATTGTACACTTATTCACAATTTTACATACTTTAGCCCCTTAGTATTAGTTAGACTTTGTAATTTTAGTATAGTTTGACTGTATACCACTCATTTCAGTTTTAAGATTCCTACATGTTGAATGTATGCACCTTCCGGCCATAGTAAATTCCTTGTCTGTGCAAACTTTCATGGCGAATACCTCCCCGTGGTTGCGTGGATTTTTCTCCGGGTCCTTCGTTTTTTTCCCTCGACATATAGAACCAACGTCATGCGTTGAGAATATTTGGCTGCTATAAATGTCCACGTAATGACGATGATGACAAGTCACTTCGTTGAGCTCTTATTTGTGATAGCCAGTCGCTTCTGAAAAACAGCTACACAGCTCAGTGGGGCACACCCTGGTTGCTAATCCTGCATAATGCACGGGCATAAGTAGTATTAATCACATACCTGCATTTCCCATATCCCCTCCCTTTGATGCTGCTAGTCCTGCATAATGCACGGGCATAAGTAGTACTAATCACATACCTGCATTTCCCATATCCCCTCCCTTTGATGCTGCTAATCCTGCATAATGCACGGGCATGAGTAGTACTAATCACATACCTGCATTTCCCATAAATATGCTAAATGCCTCTTGATATGCATATTCTTTTGTCAAGGCGCTCTTTTCCCCCCTTCCAACCCAGCTTATATATATGCTCCAAGCACGTGTGCTGTATCATTCAGACGCTGTCGCCTCGACAGACCTGGTTTTCACCTGAGGACGGCTGCTTGCGTTGTGGCCGAAACGTCGTGAGAATTGTTTTGTTATGTTTTATTTTTATTATTTTATTACTTCCCTTCTACGTGACTTTACCGAAAGAACCAATAAGAAAATAAACATCGTTTAGTTCATAGGCTGCATCAGTACCAGCAGCAGCCCTGACAGGAGCACATGTAGCAGTAGCATCAACAGCAGTGGCGACTTCCATCAGCACTAACAGAAGATTGCGGAGTTCCGGTGAGAATAGAGGGGAGCGTGGAGTTCCGGTGAGAATAGAGGGGAGTGTGGAGTTCCGGTGGGGAATAGAGGGGAGTGTGGAGTTCCGGTGGGAATAGAGGGGAGTGTGGAGTTCTGGTGAGAATAGAGGGGAGTGTGGAGTTCTGGTGGGTATAGAGGGGAGTGTAGAATTCCGGTGAGAATAGAGGGGAGTGTGGGGTTCCGGTGAGAATAGAGGGGAGCGTGGAGTTCTGGTGAGAATAGAGGGGAGTGTGGAGTTCCGGTGAGAATAGAGGGGAGTGTGGAGTTGCGGTGGGAATAGAAATCACCGCTGCAGGCTACGCACCTCCACGTATCCTCTGGAGCGCCACCCTCAGGGCCTCCTTGCAGGCGGTGGCTCTGCGCTCCAGCCTGAACATCGCCATCCTGGCCTTGTGCACCTCACTCAGCTCAAATCCCCTGAACTCCTCCTCCTGCTGCTCCTCCTCCTCCACGCCCTGCAAGATGCTCCACACGTACTCCAGGGCTTCCGCTTTAGTCTGAGCGGAGGGGGCGGTGGGGTGAGGGGGCGGAGGGGGTCTGTCTGGGGGCGGAGTTGGTGCGGTGACCAGCGGTGGCTAGGAGATGTTAACTCCCTCGCCCCTGGTACGCAGGAGGTCGCGGGTTCCATCTCGACCCTGACCCTCATCGGATTCCTCCAGTACAATACATATTTTAATTCTGATATTCTGAATCTGTAAATCTGATTCCATACATCAAGCAGAACCAGCCGTCATGCTGAACCTCGGTGGGTATGGCAGGCCATGCCTCTCACAACTCAACTAATTAATAAACTAATTATAATAATGTAGTGGACACCCGTGACGACAGAGACAGTTGAAGTAGAGGCAACCCATATTTATTAACTCTGAGCCGTTACAGCTTCACACTTGAAGAGGTAACGGCCTCTTCACCCGTTCTCTCAAGGGAGCTAACTCCCCAAGCTACTCACCGACTCCACCAATACTACGACCCTCCCTCTCAAGGAGACTACCTGACCTGGCCAGCCAGGCACAGGTCCGACAACAGCCACACGAATCCGGCCCTTTCAAGGACATCAGCCTTCGCGGCTCTGGGGTCGCAACCACTGGCTTGCTCTGCCCGGCCTTTAGAAGGACAGCGGGTCAGAGGAGTCCCAGGTCTAGCTAGCTGGACTTCAGCTGGTTCTTCGTCCTTGGCTTGTTCGAACTAACTCTCTCCTCTCAGAGTCTCGCCTTTTATACGATTCCCACTGAGGGGCGGGGGTTCTGTGGGATCACACACACCCCACAGCCCCCTCCCCTCGGGAGGGGCCCCGGCTCTAGGGATATCACAACCGCCCCGCACAGGTAAGTAATGGGAGTTAACCGGAGCTGGTGTGCTGCGCGTTCCAATACCACCACCACACAATAATGACGCACGTCTCTGGTATAATTATATAGAAATTACTTTTATAACACAGACCAGTGGAACATTTTTTTGTACTTTTCGTAACAGCTATTTTCATTGGGTATATGACAGGTGAGGCTCTGCCTCGCCCGTCTCCCTGACCGCACGTCCCTGGTATAGCAGTGTCTAGTAGTATGTATGTACGTTGAATGTCTTTGTCACCGTACGTAGCCAACCTCGCTAATGGGAGGTGCGGGGAAGGACAACAAACTAAAGACAACAGCAGCAGCAGCTGTAACGAGAGGAGTGCCGTGCGCTGTGCACAGAGACCTTGCGCTTGCTGGAAGCTGCCCTCGCGTGAGACTCTCCCACGGTGGCCCAGCGTGAAGCAGCCCCCTTGCCTCCTCCTGCGTGAACACACAGCACACACGTGAACACACGCACACACGTGAACACACGCACACACGTGAACACACGCACA